TCATATTTGCTCCATAATGCCAATACAAGCTCCCATCAAGGGTTTGGTGCTCATAGGCTTGCCTCTAGCTCCATAAAGCTTGGGTCTTTGGACTCACAAGACCTCCTACAATCCAGATCTGAGGTTTAAACCTCAAGATATGCTCAACGGACTCAATAACACAAGAAGGATGGGGAAAAACCTTAGAACTCCCCAAACTAAGATCTCACAAGAAAAATGATCAAGATAGCATCTTTTTACCTCAAACAGAAGCTATCCACTGAGAACCTCTAGATCCAAACGTCCCTCCTTGCTCCAAGCCTTAATGATTTCCTCTTCTTCTCTCAAGGTGCACCAAAATACTCAAGATAGCCTCTCCTTCTCACACAACAAGCTAAAACTCGATTAGGGTTCTTCACAAGGGAGTTGGGTGGCTGGTGATGCGGAAATGAGGGCTTAAGGCCCTTTAAATAGGACACAAACCCAAAGATTTAGGGTTTCCTCGCACAACGCCAACTCGGCGAGTCGGCTCTCTGACTCGTCGAGTTGGTCATTAAACTCACGTGGCCAACCCCGCTTCTACTCGATGAGTTGGACATCCAACTCGGCGAGTCACTCAGTTAACTTGAAAATAAATATGTATAAATATTATACCTGAGAGTCGGGATGTTACATAAAGCATCTTCATCCATAGTTCAAACTCCATGTTTTACTATATTATGGAGCTAAGTCATCTCCAACTTCACCTTATTTCCCGTTCCATTTTGGATTGAAGAAATAGTAATACTCCACATATAGAGTTATTTTATTTATCTCTCCAAAATAGAGTTAAAATTTTGTTTATCAATTTTAGTCTCTCGCATTTTAGGTTTATTAAATTTTACTTTGTTTTGATTAACTAACTATAGTTTAGATGATATTAATTAATCATAAATATAAATTTTATTATTTATGTATCGAATTCATATGGAATTTAATAAATAGTAAAAAAACTAATAAGTTAAAGAGTCATTTTGACCTCTTTAGAAGTTTAAAAAATAATATATTTTTTGGAGTTAAAAATAAAGTAGAGTTGCAAATGAAATACTATTTTGTTCTATTTTTTAATCCATTTTGAAGTAAAAAAATTAAACGGATTTAGAGATGGTCTTAGGAGATCTCCAATTCAACACTAGATCTTATTTTTACACCACAATAATGTAAAGCCATCTCCAACCCCATTGCATTTTATGCACCAATTTGGTTGAAATAAATAAAATAACATCAAATTTAGTTTTAAATTATTTTTTTACACTAAAATATTGTCAATTTTTTATGTTACTTTTAGTCTCTTAAGTTTCTTGTTTATTTATGTTTATTTTATTAAGAGTAAATTACTGAAATCGTCCCTATGGTTTGGTTAAAATTACACGTTTGGTCCCTACCTTTTATTTTGCACTCGGATCGTCCTTGTGGTTTGATTTTGTTACGTTTTTCGTCCTTATGGTTTTGTCAAAATTGCACGTTTGGTCCCTGACTTTATGTATATAAGGGACGAAAAACACAACAAAATCAAACCATAGGGACGATCCGAGTGCAAAAGAAAAGTTAGAGACCAAACGTGTAATTTTGACCAAACCATAGGGTCGATTTCAGTAATTTACTCTTTTATTAAATATGACTAAGTATATTCTAAATATAATAATTATTAATTATAATTTACATGTTAAATTGATATAATATAGTTTTTTTATTTAGCAAAATGCCACTTTTATAAATATAATTCTTTTTATTTAACAAATATTGTTTTAATAAAATAACAAGTAATTCGAATTAATAATATACAAATAGTTTATTTGGTTATAGTTTGTATTTTTTATAAAATGTTTACAACAAAAAAGGTGTAAACAAATATATAAAAGATAATAAGTTGAAAAATGTTTTAACAATTTATATAAAACAAAAAAAATTGAATCTATTTAGTGGATATATTTTTGGGTGCAAAATTTTGTGAAAAAATTATTTTAAATTGAAAATGAAACATTATTAACATCATTTAAGTGTAAAAACTTAAATAGTTGGAGATGGTTTTAAAAAAGCTTCGGTTTAAAACACTCCAATAGGTTTTTCAAATTTGTAAAACTTATTTGTTTGAAAACACTCTTAATAAAACACCTGAGACATATTTTGGATGTGATGAATCTATATCTACATCCATTATATATATATATATATATATATATATAGAGAGAGAGAGAGAGAGAGAGAGAGAGAGAGAGAGAGAGAGAGAGAGAGAGAGAGAGAGAGAGAGAGAGAGAGAGAGAGAGACTTTTGTTGTTTTTTTATTAATATTATTTGATTTATTTGATTTCTTCATTATTATTATTGTTAAAAAAAAACATTATAAATAACAATAATACAAATGAAAATAATAATAAAGAAAAAATTGTTTTTATTAATCATCGGATATACTAGCAGTTTGGGTATTACAATTACGTTGTGCAGTATGCGTATTATGCGGAACATAAGCATTCAGTCGAACACTATGTATGGTTTCCCATCTAATAGAACATTCTGATATGTACGTACGTCAATATAATAAAACAGTAGACATTTGATATGTTTCATGTAAATCAACCATCATATAATGGTTACGGTGAACATGGGTGATTACAATAGATGCATGATTTAGGATGTCTTGCGGGCCATTTCAAAGTGGGAACCACGTTGTATAAACTTCTTTGGTCTACATAATGAACGATAACATCATATCTGTTAATAATGAGAAAAGCAGTGTGTAACATAATCAACCATTATTCTGATGTGGTAGAACCTGATCCACAGAAATTCAACGAGTGACTCATTGCATTAAATATTCAACGTAAATCATACAAGCTCTCTAGGGTGTTTTATTAGCTTGTTGTATAGATTTGACCGATTCTGATGTCAATAATCTTCACTATAACCAAGAGAAAGAGTAATAGCCTGGAATCGACAACTTCATCTCCCTTTACATCTTTAATGTGCGTGATGTATGGATGAAATTCATGTGGAATTTCATTCATAAGTGGATTTAAATTATATATTGGTTGTTCTTGGTTGAAGTATGAGTTGGACACCGAAGGTTCTCAAAACAAATGCATGTTATGCCTATTTGGTTCTTGATTTAAGTCAAACCAATTAGTCTTCATGTAATCTGATGTATACGTAGAATAACGATGTCTACAAGGATCTTGAGTTAGTAGGGGTTGGGTGAGGTAAGATTTTGGTATGGTTTGGGTGAGGTAAGGTTTTGGTATGGTTTGGGTAAGGTGGGGTGGGGTATAGTTTCCGTTGTTTGCTCAATCATGGATATCCACATCTATTTTTGCAAACAGCTTGATCAATAATTGTAGTTGTTGATGGCAAGAGACCCCCCCCCCCCCTAGTTTTCTCATATAACTCTATTTTCCTATCTTTGACTACTTAGTGTAGCTTGTTTTTTTTTTCAAAAAATTGCACACCATTTTACAATCTAATGTGTCATCTTCCGTGGTAACAAAAACTTTATTTAAACCAACCTTTCGCCAAATTTATCAATAGACCCTAATGGTATCGGTTGACCTAAATATGAATAAATTGCAATTTCGTATGCACAAGGTGACCTACAACCACGTCACACTTGCAACCACATTCGTATTCAATTATTTGTTATGCGCTTTTTTTTTTCTAAAGCATGGTGTGAAACAGCCCCACAAATCTTTGAAATGTCATATATTGTTATGATGTTTTGACTTTTGAATTAATTTTGAATTTTTTTTTCAAAAATGTCTTTTATCGCCGTGTTGCGATTCCATCAACGGTTCAATACGGTCAAAATTTTTATGTAAGTTAGCATGCTGTGAATCCAAATATTTTTTAACCATGCATGCTAACTCCGTTAAAAATAAATTTGACACATAGACACTTAGTTTTGTCTTTGTTTCGTGCTATTTGCACCAACTGGATTAAATTTGCACGATTGTTGACCCCCAACGAATGAAAAAAAAATCAAAGTATAAGAATTCTAAATGCTTACAAACATATAACATCCAAAATATATATTAAAACTATTCACAAAATATTTATACCTCTTCAATGTGAAAACTCTGCATTGCCTTTCGTTTGTTGAATAATGAAATTTGTTTTTAGTTTGCTAAATACTGAAATCTGTCTTTGGTTTGCTGAAAACATCCACATTTTTATAACCATGAAGAATGTAATGAATTATAAAAACGATCAATTATAAAGGTAAAAAAAAAATGATCAATTATAAAAGCAAAAGTAAGATATTTTTCGTCAAATGTGGAATGTGGAATGTGTTTGGCATCTTCCAATTTCTAAGTCGACTATGTTTTGTTTGACGTCTTTAATTTTAAGTCAACTAAGAATCCAATTTACAGAAATGACCTTTGGACTATTGTTATCTTACGCCGTTGATTTTGTTCTTTTGTAATGTTACAAGTTTAAACCCTAAAATTTCATCATTTATCTGTATTTTAATTTTATTCAAATTATGTTTCCTTTTTGATAAAAAAAAAAACTAAACTCGAAAAATATATAAAATAAAATAAATAAACACAACAAAGATTGTATAAATCCAAACGACCGTATAAAATTGAATGATTATTTGATGTGCAATAATAACTCGTATAAATCTTATCAAATTTTAGGAGTATAACATAATAATAATAAAACAGTAAAAACAAAAAGAACAAAAGGACAAAAAAAAAGTAATTAATTGGGATTTAACATGTAAAGTTTAATATAAAAAACTAAAAAAAAAAAAAAAAAAATTGATTCGGTAGAACCCTAATTGATTTAAATATCGCTAGAAAGATAGAATTAACAATTGGGGAAGGAAAAGTAACACACCCAATTAACCAATATATTCTTAACTTGGAAACATTTCAATTTCAAGTCTCACATGTTGATTGTGAAACCAAATGAACCACCTAAAAACAACAAACTAAACCAACCAAATTTATATTCACATTGGAAACCAAACCAAAGTAACAACTTTCTTACCATTTAAAGGTTCACATCACCCAACTAAGTTTAATCCTAATTCCCATATTTCAAAACTTAATTTCCCTTTAACTTACATACCATAAATATGCAAATACAACTACAAGCAAAGAGACTTTGCTTACATTACAACAAACCGCTAACAACAAACAAATTTTTACTGCTCTTTCCAAATCCTACCTGTCACTCTAAGCTTCAACTCCTTCCTATCTCCACCTGAGAAAAAAAGCCCCATATTTCTTTGAATAATCAAACCATCAAAACTATCACGAACTTTCCTGTGACTATCTCTTATGCTTCTTGGCACTCCCTGCCACGTCATCTTCCTCCCGTTCCCTCCAACTTCCAGGCTGTAACTGTAATTCTTTGCCTCGTCATCATCTCCCATGAATCTCAAAAACGCGATGTAAACAGGTGCCATGCCTAGCTGGAACGCCTCAAAATGGAGACAAAAGTACTGCCCAAAGCAACTAAATACCTGCCCAAATCATGATATAGCAACCTACTTTCACTCATTTGATAATAATTTCAAAATAGCAACGTACTTTCATTGTTCCAAAAACACCCCTCAACTTTGTCTTTTTTTTTCTGAAAAAAACCCTCAACCTTGTAAATGTTTCGAAATAAATCAACTTTTTTAGTTTTTCCTGAAAAAAAACACGCATTTTACAACGTTTTTAGAGAAAAATGGCTAAAAGGTCCAGATTGGAAAAAATGAAAAAATGCAAGATCTTTTTTATGATAAAAATAAAGTTGAGGTTTAATCCGGAAAAAACACAAAATATAAGGTCTTTTATGTGATTAACAATTTGTTTTATTATAACATCCTACTTTCATAATTCCAAAAAAACCCCTCATCTTTGTCTTTTTTTTCCTGAAAAAAAAACACTCCCATTTTACAACGTTTTTTAGAGAAAAATGGCTAAAAGGTCCAGATCGGAAAAAATGAAAAAGTGCAAGGGCTTTTTCATGAAAAGAAATAAATTTGAGGTTTAATTTGGAAAAAACACAAAATATAAGGTTTTTTTATGAGATTAACCCTTTGTTTTATTATAACATCTTATTTTCATAAATTTCATTTTTCTCTTATTACAGCAATGTAATTTGAAAAACCTACCCTTTAATAGTAATGTCAACAAAAGAATTTTCTTTTGATGATAATGTGTGAATAAGAAGAAATAGAAACAAACTTCCATTGATTTGTTTACTATAAAATCCTACTTTCATTTCTCTCCATTTTAGCATCATACTTTAAAAAACCACCCAATTATTTTTCATTGATATGACTTTATAAAGTTTTCAAAGTATAATGTCCTAATAAGAAAAAAAAAATAAAAGTAGGTAAAGACTTTTCAAAGTACAATACCTTAATAAGAAAAACAATGGATGTATAATTATGTAAAAGAAATGAAAGTAGAATGTTATAATACACATATAAATGAAAATACGTTGCTATTTTTTGCATTTAGCTCTAATAAAAAAAGTACATTTTTTAAAGTTATTTGAAGACATACCGTAAGCATCCAAGTTGCATTCTCGACCTCATGAGGATTTGACTTAACATAACGATGATTAAAAGTACTTCCATTATGCATATCAACTTTATGTCCATCTTTTAAATGGTTAACAAGATGAGGAATATCACCAATAACTGTGCATTCGGACCCCGCATAGGGACAATTATAAGGTCTAAAAACACATTGGGATTCGTGTTTTAATTTGCTATAATACGGGTAAATCCCAACACACCCGTAACTTTGATATTTACAAGGAAGTTCAAGTGATGCAGCCACCTTTTCAAGTGCTAAACACCTAATGTTTCCTAGTTCATGCCGACATGTTGGACAACGGTTGTGCACATGAGGTTTGCATCCGGAACATAACGTGTGACCATTTGAACACTGCAATAAAAGGACAACTTTTTAATCAAATTTCGTTTCTTTTTTTCCATAAAAGAATAATAGTTTAGTGGAAAAATCAATAAGATGGTGAAAATGTGTTGTACTTTTCTAATATTTGTCCATGTTTTCAAGATATGTAGAAACTAAAAATGGTTTCTAATATTAATCACACTTCTGAAAGTAGTTAGGTAGCTAAATAAATAAAATAATAAAAGTACAAGTGCTTTTTTTTCTGTATTTGGCACACTATAACTTGACGCTAGTGGATTCATTTATGTTTGGATATGAAATGGCACCTGATGGATAGGAGGGTACATGGCATTCAAGCAAACAGGACACTCCAATAAATCACGAACACTGCTTGTGGCAAGTACATTGGGCTTTAAAGCAATTTGAGAAGTGTCATGAACATGTTCATGTTCAGTCACATCCATTGCATCTTCAATTTGAGGAGGATCAATCACTTCTGGATTATCACGCCCATCGTCAAAATAAGATATTACAGTCGACATTGCTGACATTGTCTTCAGTTTGCTTCGTTTATGCAAATAAAATCAACAAGGTTAGCGACTATAGATACTTATAACCCAATGACTTTCATCATGTGTTCAGGTTTCTTTGATTCGAGGAAGAGTAAGTTTCAGAATAAAAGCTCAAATTTTTTATTTAAATCAACTTCGGTAAAGTCTGAACAATTACATCAAGTTTATAAGTCAAATGATGTCCTCACTCCAAATTGTCTAAGTAGAGAATCTCATAGACCTAAATCAAACACTCATGCACTCATCTATGGCGTTGGATTTCTTACAATCATAGAACAATTCTTCAAAAACACTAACGGAAGCTTGAATCAGAGAATATGGGGAAACTACACAAACCCAGATAAGCATATTTGAATTTCAGACTTAAAAGATAACCGCAACAAAGATTGGGTCAAAATTTCACTGTTCAAAACGCTATCTTACTCGAAAAACATAAACCGACACAATCGATTAGTTGAAAAAACGAGAAATGCAAAAGATTGAAAGAGGGATGAAGGGTACCTGTAGTGAAAACCCAAAATCGAAGAGACGGGGTCAAAAACCTGATGAATACTGATTGGGGGAGGAATTCTTTAAGAATATTAAACACGGAAGAAGAAAATTGAATGCGTAGGGGACGAGGTCTGAGAAATCAGAAGGAAACATTCAAATTAAAGCCGTTAAGAGAGAGAAAGAGTTGGATGTTCAAGAGGAGCGTCAAGCGTGTGCAGTAAGGACACAGGTTCTCGAGAAAATACAAAGAAGGAAGCAAAACGATAGTGGGGCCAAACACCAATTCAAACGAACATCTTCTTATTTCATTTTTTATTACACTTATTTGGATTTATTAATCATAAAATTATTAGTTTACTCTTTATACATAAAGATAATCTTGTTTTCTAAAACTTTAATCGATATAAATCATATAATTATTATAAAACGATCAGTAGTTTAAGACAAAAAATCGAAGCTTTGTCACACATGATATAATAGCAACCAAAAGTAAAAGTTATATGATATTAAAACATCAAACTATAATAGTAAATAAATTTGTGATGACATATTCATATTTAGCAAAACTAGTGGGTATATGGTGGCCCGTAACTAAGTGACTATCTGTTTTTCTAAAAAAAAACAACTTGTGGTTGTGCAGCATAGAACACGTGCAACATTTGGTATTTCATAGTTGTTTTTATTTTAAAAAACTTATGACTTAAAAACTGTTGAGCGTGTGCTGAGCGGCGCAACACTAGACTCTCCTCTTCAAACATCATCTCATCTTACTTTTAAGTTATATTATTTAACATGAAAATTATTTTATTTTTTTTAACAACATGTTTATTATTTTAATAATATTATAAAGGATATTATAAACAATTCGAATATACTTTACATAATTTCAAAACCATTTGGTAAATTTTATATAAATTTTTTTGTTGGTATATTGTCTGTAACCAAATATTAATAAATTATAAAGTCAATCACTAAAATTACCAAATCTATTGAAGCTAATCGAAAAAATAACCATCGTCTTGGAAAATTTAACAAAATGAACATATTGTTTGCTAAATTAACAATTTTATTTATTGTTATTTAGCAACTATTATGTTTAATTGTTTATAAAAACGTTTTGAATCGGTTTTATTTGACGTGGTATAGATAAATAATGTCGGTAAAGTGACTTCTGTATTTAAATGAATAAATATAATATGTTTAAATAAAAAAAGATTTCACTTGTAATATATGGTCTAGGACATGTATTTTTAGAATAATTATTGTAATATGAAACTATTATAACTTTGTAAATCCAATTTATTTAAATTTCAATTTATTGCAGCAGCATGCAGACGTTGAAAAATAAATCGACTTCTTATTACATGTTGCAGCCGTTTGGTCCACCTCTTCTGCTGCAGAGAGTTGCGGATGTGGTCCGCAGACTTCAGACGTTTTTGCTTCGAAAAAACATACAATACCTAAAAGTTATATCTTTTATTTTTTATATGAATGTTTGACAAAAGTTGTTAGAATTTTGAAATGTGTAAATATACGTAAAAGAATAATTGTTTAGAACAGATAAATATACAAACATATTTTTAAGGGCAATTATGAAAATTAATTCAAAAAGTTCAATAGTTTTTTTCTTAAACACTACGTGAAGTAGCTTTTATGTAACATCCGGTTTCGAGAAGTTTCTAATTTCAAGATAGTGGATCGTAATTCGATCGAGTAAAGGTCTTGAGCTTCAAGAGAATTAATTTTAAGACTTTATTAGATGTTGATAATGCTAGTTATGTGATTTAAGCCATTGAATTGTGCTTTGGAGCCAAAAGGATAAATTGGGAAAAAATGGCATTTTGGACTCTTTGCGTGAATTAATGAATTAAGTTCGGTATGCCTTAAATCAAAAGTAATTGGATAGAATTGTAGGGCTTGTTAATACATTCGTGTGCATATAAAGATCACCAAAAATGGATTTTAAAACGAAGAAGATATTATTTTTTAAAGTTGGAAATGGGTAGGCAAAAGCCTGTCACCACCGCCCGGTGAGAAAACCGATCTTGAGATTAATTATTTTCTGTCTTCGAAAATTTTAAGGGTTTTGGCTGATTGCGACGTAGTGATGGAGAATCAACACGGCGTGGCCATATCATTTAATGAGGCGCGCATTATATTATGACCACATCGTGGTCATGTATTGGCCACGACGCGGTGGCGACTAGGTTCAAAACCATAGGCCTCGGGCCTCGGGGCCCTATTTAAGAAACCTTGTGATTAGGGTTTGCTCCTCCCAACTTCATATCTAAAAGTATTAATCGAAATGTTTAGTAGGACTCAGTCAAAGCACATATATGAATAATGTGTTGAAAGGTTTCAACATGGAAAGTTCTAAGAATGGTATTGTTCCTATGTATCATAGTCAGGAGTTGTGTGAATCTCAAATTCCTTTGTTCTAGTCATAAAAATGACAGGATGAGTCAAATTCCATATGCTTTCGATATATGATCGATCATGTATGTTATCATTTGTGCTTCTTTTGATGTCTCAGATGTTTTGAGCATCTTGAGATTTTATCAGAAACTTACTCGATTGAATCAGTAGACACATGTCAAGGACATTCTAAGGTATTTAAAAGATAACAATGAGTGATTGCTTGTAGACAGTGGAGAACGTAATTAAGAAGAGTTGTACTAACACAAATTTTTAGGGATGACTCTGATTCATAGTCTAAATGGGCATTTATTTTGAATTGCAATGCAGTAACATCAAATGTTTCATGTAAGAGATGGTGGTAGAGTCAACAATATGATTTAGATTACATTAGTGCAAGTGAAGTATCCAAAGAGTATACCTAGACTAGAAAACTTCATAGTTGACACTGAATTTGTTTTGAGTAACAAATTGCCATTAGAAATATTTTGTAAAGGTGAAGTCGTATTGACTAATGATCATTGAGATCATAGAAGGTCAATGCATAGAAGGAGGAAATTCCACTACATCCAAGATAAAGTTGAGGATGGAGATCTGGTTGTAAAATGAATATCTTTATGATGATTCGTTCATGATAGTAATAACCAAAGGAACCCATGACATGCATGCTAAGGGCATAGGCATGAGAAATGATAAAAAGTTTAGTTGTTAAGTCGATTACCCCAAAACATTTATACAATATATAAATCTGTAATTGTTATGGTGATTAAATAATGGGGATTTATTTATATTCAAGTGTATGATACCATATAAAATTAGTTTATTATTGTGGTTCATTTTGCGTATTTCTTCCTAAGTAATAAATTTACTCGGAACTCCATAGTCGGTCATACTTTTGGGACTAAGTAATGATTTAAGATTGTCATGGAGTATTAGTAGAATATTCATGGTGATTGAACATTGCATGAAGATTGCTTCTATACTCATGAGTGCTTAAATGAGAATTTCAAGTATTGGAACAAGCCACTTTCTTAGAGATTAATTCATAGATTCAATTACAAGTAATTCTAAGAGGATAATATCTTCTATTCTTCAAGCAGATATGCATAAGTTGTAGTTTATAAATTTGTTGTACATTGGTATTACATAAACGCAACCATAAATGGGGGTTATAAAATATAGTTTATAGCATGATGAGTAAAGGTTATTATTATGTAGTCAAATTTATTAGTTCTTTTTTCCTTAACAGGAAAAGTGATATCTTTGGGGCCCTCGATGATTCTATGTTGACATTCATGTGAAAGGCCTTGCCCGGTCCAAAATGACGTGTTCAATTTGTAGTCTAAATTTAGTCATAATAAATCAAAATTTTGGAGGCAAAATCTTGTACTATAAGATCGATTTGTATCCATGTATCGTGTCCATACGATATCTTGTAAAACGAAGGAATAGTTGATCATTTATCTAAGGTCCAACGATTAATTATTTTAGAGTTCGACGATGGCTGTGGAAAGCACACTTTGCTGGCTATTCAAATTCTATATTAGCAATTGTAGTTGATGACTTGTCCAAGTGGGAGATTGTTGGAATAGGTGTCTAAGGTCATAACTAAGTTGGTCAAGGTTTGTTGGGTGACAACAAAATAAGTTTAACGTGGTTTGGTCAAAGTAACCTACATCCACGAGCAAGGTTGTAGAACTCATTACTCGGTACTTGCTCGGCCGACTACCGAGTAGCGAGTACTCGGGAGTACTCGGGGAGTACTCGGATTCGGTAATTCATGTAGAAATATTTTTAGGAAAATTATATATGTCAAAATCATAAGTTAAAATCATAATTTGATTGAAATAAATAACAAAATTAGATACATGTGAATACATAAAAGCTGAAATACACATAATTGTCTCACTTCGTGAATAATTACTGGAAATTTAAGATATATTGTAACACCCATAAAATTCATGCCAATTTAAAACTTTTTAAAACATTTAATGACCAATCATCATTATAAATTTGTTTTCAAAATAGTTTCATGTCAGAGTATCCCAGAATCAAATCATAAAAATGTAAGAAGGTGCACGATCATGCCTTCGCCTTCCCGCGATCATCAGAAGTACCTGAAACAAAATCAACAACTGTAAGCCCAAAGCTTAGTGAGTTCCCCCAAAATACCAACGCCATGCAAACCATAACAATATCATACAAACAACATGCATAATGATCCATTAGCCTGACTGGTCCGCCTCGCAGGGCCATCAATCTATCTGGACCGCTCTCCGAGCCATCGGCACGTCTGGACCGCCTCATAGGCCCTTCAGCCTATCCGGACCGCTCGTCGGGCCTTCGTCCTGACTAGTACGCCCCTACCGGGTCTGCAGTCTATCCGGGCCGCCCTGGGTATGTTGGCATATTGCACAAAGCAGGACCGCCTCAACCCAACCCCCAATCAAACAATCATGTGCACATAAATATCATACACTAGCTAGCATGTACAGATAGTCATACAGATCTAACAGATCATTAATCATAACATCATCCTATATACCAGGATACAAATCTAACAGATCACTTGTTGGATTAGGTGTCTAAGCCCATAATTATAATTGATATGTACTTGACCCGATAGTAGCGTGGTCCTTTTGGGTTGCCTTCACCAGAGCAATTTGATAGGATGGACTTTTGAGAAAGAGATTATTTGTAATTTATTAATATATTATAAGTATAATATATTAATTGAGAAATCATATTATTTAATTAGTATTGATAAAGAATTAATTTGGAATTAATTTAGTGATCAAAAGAGACTGATTAAACATACGGGGACTGATTAAGTAAATCAATGATTCTTATAGTGTGGGCTAATGATCCATGGTTGATTAGGATGGGCTAAACCAATATGATAGTCCATGGAGGTTTAACCCATGGAGCCTAAGAAATATGAAGGGTCATGGTGCATTAGGGTTTGCATGGATGAAACCTTAGTCTTTGCCACACTATAAAAGCAACCCCTAGGCCTAAAATCGATGCTCATACATTCTAAGAGAGTGATAACCGATTTTAAGCTAACTAGCCTATTCTCTCAAGCCTCCTCTTGCATTTGGTGTTTGTGACACATTAGAGGCATCACACTTGAGGTGCTAAAGCTTTCTAAGGCCAAGAACTACAAACTACATCAAGAGGTATTCATCTAAGTTGGTTTTTATGTTGTATATCCTCTATTGCATGCTAGTTAGGATGTATGCTTTGGAAAAATGAAATTGCATGTATAATTAGAGAAAACTTAGATCCAAAGCATCTAGGGTTGCATGTGCACCATAGGAGTGTTATAGTGCTTAAAACCCATCAATGGTATCAGAGCTTAGGATTGTTTTCTGTTATATTGATGCTTGGTTATTTTTCAAAGCTGAAAAAATCGATTTTTTGGCATCTGAATGATGAACTCGCTGAGTCCAATGATCTGAATCGACGAGTTCACTCACTAAAAGGGCAACTCGATGAGTCCAGTTCATGCACTCGTCGAGTAGAGCCTTCTGTGTGCATAATTTCGAGTTTTTGGCCACAATTGGATTAGGATCATTACCATAAACTGTTTTGTATCATTAAAATCGTATTTTCTGATTTGGTAATGATGATCCTCATCCAATTAAAGGACAATTGTCAAATTTTAAGATAATAAGATAATTATTTGTATTATTTGATATGAATTGCCTTGCTATATGAGTTAGATTAGATCATTGGTAAATTATATGATAATGTTGTTAGTTAAAATTGATCTAAATTGTTCTTGAAGTGAGTTTTGTAACTTGTCCTCAAGTTATATGAAAAGTCTCATTCATGAACATTAAAACTCATAAGTTTTCATAAGTTATGGAAAACAAAAGTTTTGAAGAGTTACAAAACTTGCCCTCAAGTTTTGGAATTTGTAAAGACTCACTTTTGAAACATTTAATTCCAAACCTTAGAATTTTAAAAGTTTAAAATTCAACCATTATACTATTATAATATTACAAGTTTAATAATTATATATATATATATATATATATATATATATATATATATATATATATATATATGTATAAGACAAGTCAGTCTTACCGTTAGTAGGCCTCATTCACGAAGCCGGTCTATAAGGGGGAGGGGGTATAAGGTTACTGCTTATAAAATGGTGGTTTAGTGGGTGTCCATTCTCACCCACCGCTTCCTTGACTGGTGGAGGTGTAACGCCCCGAATCTTGGATGTGAAACTTGAGAGTTATAATGCACATTGTAGGACCTACTCGACGAGTTGGTTGGTCCCGACTCGTCGTGTAGGAGTTGAGCTGGTCGCGCGGGATATGAAGCCTACTCGTCGAGTTGAATGGATGGACTCGACGAGTTGAGTTTGTGTAGTGAAACCCTAATTTTACGGGTTTGTGTCCTATTTAAAGGACCTTAAGCCCTCATTTCCGCTTCGCTGATCATTTAGACACACTGAGAGAAACCCTAGACAAGCTGTAGTCGTTGTGAGAGAGAGAAAGGCTAAAGATCTTGTGTTCTAGTACATTCTTAGAAGTTGATAGAAGAGCAAAAGGTTTGGAACGAGAAGAAGGCCTTGGATCCAGTGTTCCTTCAGTACTAGCTGCTAATTGGAGGTAAAAAGCTATCACCTTGATCATTGTTTGGTTAGATCTCTTCTTTAGGAAGTTTGGGGCCATTTCCATCTTCCTTTTTGAGTCTTTGAGTCATTTGAGCATGACATGAAGTTGAAACTTCAGATCTGGACTGCATGAGGTCCCTTGGACATTTAGATCCGAGCTTTATCAAGCTATTGGCCAAGCTCCAAACATTAAACCCTCCATAGAGCTTTGTTTTGGCACTTTGAGCCCTAAGTGCCATGCATGGACGTAAAGCTTGTAGCTTTACGTGGTATTTCAGCCTTGGGAGGCTAGATCTAGAGTTTGGGGTTTTAGTTCTGAATTAAATCATCTGAATGAGAAAATGGACTTAAGGGACTCGAGGAGTTGATGAGCCAACTCGGTGAGTCGGTTAGGGTTTACCCCGATGGTTTGGACGCGTTACTGACTCGGCGAGTTGCTGAGACAAATCGACGAGTTGAGAGGGTTTTACCCGTCTATGGATTCAGAGCGGACTCGACGAGTTGATGAGACAACTCGACGAGTTGGTGGGGTTTTCCTGGTCTTTTGGACACTGTATGGACCCGACGAGTTGGCTAGCAACTCGGCAAGTAGACTCGGGTTTTTGCAATATACTAAGTTCTGAGGGATCCGACGAGTTCATGAGCTGTAGTCGGCGAGTTGAGTCAACATGGACTGTTGACTTCTGGTGACTTTTAGAGTTGGGTTAGTTTTGACTGTTGACTTCCGTTGACTTTAGGGTTTTGGTCAACTGTGGATTTTTGAGGCCATGGAGGGGCGAAGATTAGACCAGCAGCTCGAGTGTGGGATACATTGCTTTACTCTGCGAGGTGAGTCTTCTCACTATACTTACCTGAGTGGTACTTACTGTGTGACCAGAGGGTCTTATTCGTGTTATTGACTAGAGGGTCTTATTTACATTATTGACCGGAGGGTCTTAGTACATTGTTGACCGGAGGGTCATTGTACACTATTGGCCGGAGGTTCGTAATTGTTTATACTTTGACATGTGTTGCCATGCATACTGTCTTTGTGACTTATGCTGTTATATTATTTTGTGTATATGTATATCTTATGAGCTTATACTGAGATATGTGATATCATGCATTCTATCTTGTGATTTATGTTGTATATTATCATGTGCATTATTGAGATAGGAACAGAGGGTCCAACCCGAGCTATGAGACCGGATGGTCTTCACTGAGACACATGAACGGATGGTCCACACCAAGCCGTGAGACCGGAGGGTCCTCACCGAGACACATGACCGGAGGGTCCATGCCGAGATATAGCCATGAGAGGCTAATTATTGTGTGTGGTATTTTGGGGAACTCTGTCACAACTAGGAATTCTGATGCTTTGTAAACAATTAACAAGGATAACATTGTAACTAAAACTTGAAAGCATGTATGATGCTTATTCAATGACAACAAAATTCCATCAAACACTCCATACAAACGCTCAAATAGTCTACAAAAGGTTGGAAACCCTAGAAATCCCGGTTTAAGTCCATTATGGACTAGGATTTCCTTATTGGGTCTAAGGGGCCAATAAACTTCCAATGTGACTATTTTGGGCTTAGAACTCTTAAATGGGCTCTCATTGGACCCACTCTCATAAGACTTAACCTATTTGGGCCTTATAAGCCTAAAATGGACTAGTTTACCTTTAATGGGCCTTATTGGGCCATAACAAATCTAAATAGCTTTAATAGACTCAAATCCATTCCTTTATGCTAAATTGGACTGTGAATTACTCTAAAGGCCCAATGGACCGAAAATTATCAAATAGGGCCTCATATTATGGACTCAAGCACAAAAGGCGCAAGCCATTCTCTTCCTTCTCTCTCTCTCTCGGCCCAAGTAGAAAACAAAAAAAAAATGAAAATGAGAAGAATGGTGGGGAGAAATAATAAGGAGATGCCACCTTCCTATTATTCAACATGTAACAATGCTATAATTTCCCATACTTCCATGCATGTCAACTCATTATATCTCTCTTCTACCTCTTCTTATTACTCACAGCCGAAGATCACAACACACACACACACATTTCATCAACCTCTTTCAAACACACTCTCTCTAGAAAAGCTTCATCTTCTCCATTCAAATTTTCGAGATCTTGGAACATTTCAAGGAGGTTCTTCCATAAAAATCATCATCCTAGGTAAGTTGATGCTTGGATCCATAATCTAGTCTCTTTATTTCATCAAGAATCTCTTCTAAACTCACACAAACTCATGATCATCATCCTAGAAAACTCTAAGTTCGAGATCCACCCAAGAAGGCTTACTAGGACCAAAACTCTTCCATTTATTTCTTCAAAACCAACAACAACAAGCAAAGGTGAGTTCATACCCCTCTATTTTCGGTTTTCATATGATTTATGGGGGAGAATACAAGTAAAATGTGAAGATCTATGTGTATTTGTATGTTATGTGTGATTTCTTGTGTTTTTGTGGTAAATATGTGCTAAAAATGAAAGATATTTCGAGATCTATAGTTCAAGAAGGAAAAATATGTGATCTAGGTCATATTTCACTTAACA